TTTTTTTTTTTTTCTTTTTGTTTATATTTATAATGGCAAATGGCTATGGTGTTTGTATTGATGCAATTTTTTTTCACTCTTCTGGAGAATTGTTGGGTTGACAGGATTCATGATATCCTGTAAATCTGGTGCCTCAGGAACAAAGTTGAAATGATTTGTTCCAGACTTTGATTATATGCAAATAGAAAAAAAGGAAGACAAATACAGATTATAGCCTTTATCGATCCAAGGTGAGCTAAGTTTGTTAAATTGTGGAGTCGTACTAGTGTTGTGGAGTCTCGCCTAGAAAAATTAAAGACATAACCAATTGTGGAGTCTCAACTTATGAATACTTGAGTGTTGGATTCTAGCATTTATCGAGCCAAACTGAGTTCAGCTTATTAACTAATTGAATCGATAAACAAGCTCGACCTTGCCTTGTTTATCACATTTATCGAGTGGAACTAGAGAGAACTGAATTAATCTAATAGTTTAAAGAATTACATAAAAAACACTCTTTTTTGAGTTTAACAAGCTGCTTAACTAAACGAGTTCAAACTTTGCTTATTTATCAATCAAGTCGAACCAGTGACTTGGTTTGGTTAACAATTTTGAGTCTTGGTAGACATTTATCAATATTAACGAGAATAAATTGAGCTTTAGCGAGTTGGACTATAGAAAATTACATAAAAATTAATCGAGCTTTAGCAAATCGAGTTGTTAACCGAACTAATTTTAAATGAGCTCGAGCTTAACTCGTTTGATTTAAGCCAAGCTCACGAGTGGCCCTAAGTCTTGGTAACCAAACAATAAACGTATACTAAATTTCTTTTATGGAGATACTCTTAATGCAAAAATACTGACATAACACGAGAAAGATTAGTGACTCACATCTAAACTTGTCTATAGTTTACTATCTGTTTTATTGTATCTAAATTATACTCTATTGTCTTGGGCATCCATCAAACTGCAAATTCAATGAACTTGGACATACAATGAAAAACACCTACTGTACTCTTTAAATACGAACTATAATTTCATAACTTTAATGTTAGCACTTGAGGTGATACTTGTTAAAATAATGAGTGATCTATATTGCCACGTTTAATAAATAAAGTATAACAGAAATGTGTCACCATGTTATTTTTATTTTTTTCCTCCGAAAAAGGATAATGGGCAAATTTTAAAATATATTTAGGGAAAAACACACAAAAAAAAAAAGAAAAAAGAAACAGAAAAAATTCTGCAAGATTTCAGAAAACCCTTTCAAAATGTTTATATATATAAATGACCTGAGAATTTGGTAAAGGTTCATCTCACTTCATCGTCATCTCCACCAAACCCACCAAACTTTTATTATTAAATAAAAAAATAAAGGAAGAAGAAGAGGAGGAGAACAGAGATTTTGCATTGCTATTGAGGAAAATGGGGCACGTCGCGACGGCCATGTCCGATTTCCTCCGCCAATGCGGCGGTGGCGTCGCCGTGATCGACGGCGGACTCGCCACGGAGCTCGAACGCCACGGCGCTGATCTCCACGACCCTCTTTGGAGCGCCAAATGCCTCCTCACCTCGCCCCACCTTATCCGTGCCGTAAGCCTTCCTTCCTTCCTTTTGCTTTATGCTTGCACTTGTTTTTTTCTTATTTTTCTTCAATTTATTGTTTTGGGTGTTTGCTCCTCTTCATTTTTTCTGGGATTTTGATACATTTCCAATGTTCCATTTTACAGTATCGACTTGGAAAGTTGGAATCTTGAACACTGTTAGCAGGGTTATGGGTCTTCGTGATACCCAAAGCTCGAACCTTTTTCGAGCAATCTAGCTTTCTGTGTAAAGTAATTACTTTAGTTGAACATGGACTTGTAAATATAATCCTAAATTCATGATAATTTTTTGTCCTTTTTTTTTTGTATTTNGTTTCTGTGAAGCTATCTTGTGAATTTTCTACTTCAGATTTTGGCAGTGATTGTAAGTAAAGATTTAGTATTAGGACAAAACAATTGATAAGATGTGGTCCACGGTGTGGACATATTCATCTTTATCCATTTATGTTTAGCTTGATTGATGGCTTCTTATTTTTTGGCTCCCTATGAGCTTATTCTGAACAGGTTAAATAAAGCTCAGTGTGAGGTGGCCTATCCGTTAGGCGGGATTCCTTTGAACAAATATGCATTCATGGGGATGATAAATTCTCATATGCTCTACAAGCATCTAATGAATTTAAACACCTTGCTATGAGATGGTTTAATTTGCAGGTTTTGGGTTTGACCGATTTTTTGATCAAAATCGATGGAAGACAGTGTATTTCATTACTTTGAATATTTATGAGTTCTTGAATTTTCTTCATCTGCCGAGATAGAATAGAATACAGCTAACCTGTTTTCTTTCATTGAACAATTTCAAATCGATGGTTCTCATGGTTTATTTTCTCTAGAGCAGGTACACCTCGATTACCTTGAGGCAGGTGCAGACATAATAATCACAGCTTCTTATCAGGTTACTTTATGTTTCATCAGTTTACGTTGAAGTCCCTTTTTTCATCACATTTATCTGTAGGTAACAGTAAAACTAAAAATTTACACACAACTGCACAGGCCACAATACAAGGTTTCAAGAACAAAGGATATTCATTAGAGGAGAGTGAGAATTTGTTGAGAAAGAGTGTTGAAATTGCACTCGAGGCACGAGAAGTATACTACAGCAGGTGCCGTGAGGCTCTCACCGATCAAGCTCCCGATAATGATAAGATTCTCAATCAACGGCCGATATTGGTTGCTGCATCTGTAGGGAGTTACGGGGCTTATCTAGCTGATGGTTCAGAATATAGGTGAAATTTATACAATTAATCAAACCTATATACTAGTTCTTTATGTTTAATGTTATATCGCTGTTCTTAAAGTATGTCTTTGAGTTAGTTATGATCTTTTTTAGGGTGTGATTGGATATGAATTTGATTGGTTTATTTTTTAACTATAGTTAATTCTGAAAAAAGTGGTATGGTTAGTTGTTAGTGGAAATTTAAGTTTATATTAAAATAATAGTTAAAATAAAATAATTAAAGTGGATTTGATGTAAAAGTATGTTTGAAATGATTGGAAGTGATGGTTAGGAAAAATTATGTGAGTGGATGAATAGTGAATTAAAATTGACGTGGCGTGTAAGAATGATTGGTTGATATTATTTAATTTTATTGATAATATTGAGGATAGTTTTGATTTTTTTTTTTTTTTTGTTAAGTTTNCATTATGTAGTGGTGATTATGGGGATGCTATGGATCTTGATTTCTTAAAGAACTTCCACAGAAGGAGAGTTAAGGTTCTTGCTGATGCTGGACCTGATCTTATCGCATTCGAAACTGTGCCGAACAAGCTCGAAGCTCAGGTACAGATATGTATTTTTTTTTTCCCTGATTTTTGGTGTTAGTAATTAAATAAGCATAAGACATAACTAAAAATCGAGTTGCTTGTTATCACTGATGATGATGATTGTATAAAATTTTTGAGTTTATTTTATAATGTATAAAATTTATGTACTTGACAAGGCTTTTGCTGAGCTTCTCGAGGAAAACGAGATTAAGATACCCTCATGGCTGTCGTTCAACTCGAAAGATGGAGTTAATGTAGTTAGCGGAGATTCTTTGCTTGAATGTGCTGCCATTGCTGAGTCATCCAGCAAAATTGTTGCTGTGGGGATTAATTGTACGCCACCAAGATTTATCATGGATCTTATTCTATCGATCAAGAAGGTACGTTTTCTGACTCTGTTTATGATATTGATAATTTTACAAAAAAAAAAAAAAAAAAAAAAAAAAAAAAGAAAAAAAAAGTGAAGAACTGCAAGATTTTGATTGCTCATTATATTAATGTGATAGTTCACTTTGAGTTTGCTCGATTTTACGTCAGGTGACGAATAAACCAATACTCATTTACCCAAACAGCGGCGAGAGTTATGATGCTGATCTGAAGGAGTGGGTGGTGAGTTCTTTTTGTTTATAAAATAACTCAATCCATACTCAATCTATACTCAAAATCTGACTCAACTTTAACTCAACTCCACTATCCTCAATATTATCAATATAATTAAATAATATCAATTAATCATTTTAACACATCACATCAATTTTAATACACTATTCATCCACTCACATAATTTTAACTAACCATCACTTCACACCAACTATTTCCTGTTTTTACATCAAATAAACTTTAATTATTTTATTTTAAATATTATTTTAATATAAATTTAAAATCTCACTAAGAACTAACCATGTCACCTTTGTATCAAGCACCTACTTAGCTTTTTTTTTTTTCTTTCTTTTCTTGCTTTTCTTTTTATTTCATTTATTCATCTCTTTATTTTCATTTTTTTTTCCTATTTGGGTGTTTGGCAGCAAAACACAGGGGTTTCGGACAAAGATTTTGTTTCGTACGTAAATAGATGGTGTGAAGCAGGGGCATCTCTTGTCGGAGGTTGCTGCCGAACGACCCCTCACACTATCCGCTCGATTTACCAAACTCTCCTCAGTAGACGTTGAGTCTCGTTTATGCGGCCATTTCGAATGAAGAATTCGAGATTGGGTTTTATTAGATAAGAAAATTTTCCTTTGGATGAACTTTGTTGAGAACTCACTTTGTGTATCATATTTGTGACCAGAAATTTACTTGTTGAGGTTTGTCGAGATTGTGCCAATGTTATATTTTTGTTGTGTTTTTGTGTTTACCTTTCGAATCCGAAGGTTTAATAAACACTCTCCATTAGCTATGGCAGCCTTAGTTCTCAGTCGTTCATCGTAAGATTCTTCTTTTTGTTCTCCCTTCATTCTTCTTTGCAGAATCCACTTTGACAAACCCAACCAAAAAAAAAAGAAAGAAACCAGGAAAAGAAGATAGTTTTTACTTTCTTTTGTTCTTCAATTTACCAAATTTGCTCATTNAGCATACCTTAGCTACAAATCATTTGGAAAAGCTTTGGAGCTTTATTGTGGTGTTTGTTACTCCACTCTCGAATCCCACGACATCGATTTGTCTTTGTTAGATAGGTTTAAAGATGTCAATGAATTGAGTCAAGTTTGAGTTTGTGATTCGAGCTCCGCTCTTAGCCTTTATCGAGTCAATATAAGATATTCAACTTGGCTGTGAAGAGCGGAATTCGAGGTTTAACAAATCGAGCTAACATATATATTCAAAAAACCCTATGGTTGTTTGGGAGCACTTTAGTAAATGTCAATTTCTTAAATGCAATTTAACTTCTCCAAAATGAACCATTTGGATTACCAACATATCATAAGTCCATTTCTAATTAGTACCAAATAGAGTATTAACTATTTATTCAGATGAATTTTTGCATCCAAAAATCAGTTTGAAAAGTGCTTACAAACAAATCATAGGTAGAAATACTATTTTCTGAGTGCCTTAACGAGCAAAACTTTACTTTGCTCGTTTACTATTTGAGTTACAACTCCACTTATTTATCAAAAGAGTTGAATTGAATCGAGATCACGAGTGATTAGTTTTTTTTTTTTTTATTTAAAAGTAATTCTCTTTATATCTGAAAAATGAAGAAAATAGATTATAAAAATAAAGGAAACGAAAGGGTTTTGTAAATTGTAATTTGAATAATCAGTTACACGTAAAACCCTAACCTCTGAAAACCCAAAAACGGCCATCGTTTTCTCTTCTTCAAGATAATTAAACTATTCTGCCATTGTTCACTCTAGCAAACAATTCTGCTCTTCTTTTGTGCCTCTGTTAAAGGTATNTTATTTTTTTGGAAAAGCTCCACGGAAACTAATCCCCGAAGTTGCTGCCCAATCTTATCTTTTCGTGATTAATTTGCCGTCAAATGATTTGGATCCTTTGTCAGATTCCCCCAAACCAAAAAAATAAAAAAAATAAAAAATAAAAAAAATTGTTCTTTGTGTTCTGTGTGTGTGTATGTTATGTGGCTGATGATTGTGATCTCTTAGGCACACAAAAACAATTAAATCGTAGCTTACACTGAGCAGATTCGGCGAATGCTGCTTTCCTCCTCACACCGCCAAAGCTACTCCATTCTCCGGCCGCTCAATCTCAACCTTTCGTTCTCCTCCCAGACAGCGACAGCTCAGCACTGCCTCTCCCCTTCTTCCGGAACCTTCCCCTCAGACCCCATCTCAACTTCCCGAGCACTCTCCGATCTCCTCTCCTCCGGAAAATTCCACGATGTTCTCTCCCTCCTCCGTCGCATTCCACCATCTCCCTCTTTGGTCTTCTTCTGGAACATTCTCATCAAATCGAGCGTCTCCTCTCGAAATCCCAGAGAATCCCTTCGCCTCCTTCGAGAGATGCAGAGGCTCGAGTGGGCCCCAGACGACTACACTTATCCCTACACTTTCAAAGCCTGCGGTGACCTCCCGTCACTCCTCGCAGGCTCGTCTGTCCACGCTCGGGCTCTCGTCTCAGGTTACACTCACTCGAACGTTTTCGTAAACAATTCAGCCATGGCCATGTACGGAAAGTGCGGAGCCCCTGGCAAGGCACAGAATCTGTTCGACGAAATGCTCGAACGAGGCTTGTTCGACCGAATATCATGGAACTCGATTATTTCCGTCCATTCCCAGGCTGGAGACCACCGGCGGGCCCTGCGGATGTTCCGGCAGATGATTTCCTCGGGTATTTGGGTTGACCCGGTCAGCCTGGTCAACATTCTCCCAGCCTGCGCTTCGTTGAGATTATCGAGCTTCGGGAAGGAAATCCACGGACACGCGGTTCGAACTTGTCTGATCGAGGACGTGTTTGTCGGGAATGCAGTTATCGACATGTACGCAAAGTGCGAGCTTTTTGACGAGGCTAAGGATGTTTTCGAACGGATGCCGGTCAAAGACGTCGTCTCGTGGAACGTGCTCGTCACGGGATACTCGCAAGTCGGGAAATTTGACACTGCGTCGAGATTATTCGAGCGCATGAGAGAAGAAGAGATCGAACTAAACGTGGTGACGTGGAGCGCCGTGATTTCGGCCTACGCTCAGAGAGGCCTCGGTTTCGAGGCGCTCGACGTCTTTCGGGAGATGATTGTCTCGGGTTCCGAGCCGAACGCCGTGACTCTCGTCTCGGTTTTGTCAGCTAGCGCCGCTTGTTGCGGGTTGACTCACGGGAAAGAGACCCACTCCTTCATCTTGAAAAGTTCGATTATAAATTCAGACCGAGACAGATTCGGGGACGAAATGATGGTTATCAACGGGCTAATCGACATGTACGCCAAATGCAAGGATTTCAACTCGGCCCGCAAAATTTTCGACGCGATCGGGCGAAAAGAAAGGAGCGTGGTGACATGGACGGTCATGATCGGAGGGTACGCTCAACACGGCGAGGCTCGGGACGCGCTTCGCCTCTTCTCGGATATGCTTTCCGCCAAAGCCCGGCCCAATGGGTTCACGGTGTCTTGCGCGCTTGTGGCGTGCGCACGCGCGGGGGATCTGCGCCTCGGGCGGGAAATCCACGCCCACGCGATCCGAACCCAATACGAAGAATCGGCTGACCTCTTCATCTCGAACTGCCTCATCGACATGTACGCGAAATCGGGCGACGCGGATTCGGGCCGGGCCGTTTTCGACTCTATGGCCCGTAAAAACGCGGTCTCGTGGACCTCGGTTATGACGGGCTTTGGAATGCATGGTCGAGGTGAAGAAGCTTTAGAGATTTTCGACCGGATGAGGGAAAACGGGCTTCCTATAGATGGGGTGACTTTTGTAGTCGTGTTATATGCGTGCAGCCACTCGGGAATGATCGAGCGCGGGATGGAATATTTTTACAAAATGGAGAGGGATTTTCGAGTTTTGCCGGGAGTCGAGCATTACGCGTGCATGGTCGACTTATTGGGGCGGGCGGGTCGACTAGACGAGGCTTTGGAGCTCGTCGAGAAAATGCCGATGAAACCGAACCCGATAGTTTGGGTGGCGCTTCTCAGCGGCTGCAGGCTGCATAGGAACGTCGAGCTTGGGGAGCTCGCTGTTAATCGGCTGCTCGAGTTGAAATTCGAGAACGACGGGTTGTACACTCTGCTTTCGAACTTGTACGCGAGCGCTAGGAGATGGAAGGATGTGGCGAAGGTTCGGTTGTTGATGAAAAAATCGGGGATTAGAAAGAGGCCAGGGTGCAGCTGGGTGCAAGGGAAAAACGGGACGGCGGTTTTTTACGTGGGGGACAAATCTCATCCAATGGCTGATGAGATTTACGGTTTGCTCGATGATTTGATAAGTCGGGCGAAGAAAATGGGGTACGTGCCCGAGACTGTTTTTGCGCTTCACGATGTGGATGAAGAGGAAAAAAGGGATCTTTTGCTTGAGCATAGTGAGAAATTGGCATTGGCTTATGGTGTTTTGACGACGGCTCCTGGTTTGCCGATCAGGATTACGAAGAACTTGCGGGTGTGTGGGGATTGTCACACGGCGATTATGTATATTTCGAAGATTGTGGAGAATGAGGTTGTGCTGAGGGATTCGAGCCGTTTTCACCATTTCAAGAATGGGTCGTGCTCGTGCAAAGGGTATTGGTGAAGAAGGTGGATTGGTATTGGTATGTAAATGGTTCGCCTCGCGGGCTGAT